AAGGCAGTCGCTTAACCAACTGAGCCACCCAGGCACCCCGAAAAAAAATTTTTTTTAAATATAATTTCTAAGAGCAGAAATGTTGTTAGAACCATATTATTGTGAAATTATAGATAATCATAAAAGGAACGGAATATGGAAGAAAAAACAATTTCAAAAGACTGCAGTGTGTTGAATGAAGGACAGCGTAACTGGAGACAGGGGAACCAGATAGGAAGAAGCTTTGAAATAACCCGGGTGTATGCTGATGGCAACTGGAGCCGGTCAGTGGATTCGTTCGCTAGCACCGCTATAGCAAAATCCCACAAACTGGCAAAGTAGGTGGCTTCAACAACCGAAATCGATGGTCTCACAGTCTCATGGTTTTGGATGCCAGAAGACCAAAATCCAAGTGTCAGCAGGGATGGTGCCTACTGAGGGCTGTGAGGGTCAAGCTATTCTATGCTTTCTCCTAGCCTCTGGGGGTTTCTGATAATCCTTGGTGTTCTTTGCCTTATAGACTTATCACCATGATCTTTGTATTCATCTTCACTTGGCATTCGCCCTGTGTCTCTCTGTTTCCAAATTTCCTGTCTCATAAGGGTATCTATCAGTTATATTGGGTTAGGGCCCACCCTAATGACCTCATGTGAACTTGATTCCCTCAGAAAGACCGTGTCTCCGAAAAAGGTGATATTGGGAGGTACTGTGGATACTCCAGGTACTGGACTCCAACATAGTTTTATGGGGGGGGTACAACTGAACCCATACTAGGCAGTGACAGTGGATCTAGAGAGAAGAGAAAGGGTTTTAAGACACTGAGGAAGTCAAATTGACAGTCCTGGTTGGTTGGAACTCCTGGGGACTGACTTGGGATCAGGGGACAGTAAGTGTCCTTTACTTAGATAGTGGTTACAGGGAGAAAACCCCATTTGCAGGTTGGGCAATAGGAAGACAATTGATGCAGTTTTAGATGTTAATTATGGGTAGGTCAGTGAAACATCCAAGTGATATTGCATAAGGAGTTGGGCTGGAGACACAAATCTGGGAACTATTATTCTGTTTCTGCCCATGGAAATGCCCAGGAAAGTTTGTACCATGACAGTCGGACCTAGGACAGAATATTAAGATTCTCTGACACTTATAGGAATGTCAATGGGAGAGAAGTCTAAAAAAAACAGCACCAAATTAGGAGGTACAAAAGTTGTTACACTTGTAGGAGAAGAGTTTTTGAAGAAGAGGAAAATGAGGCTTGACTCAACCTTGTCAAATTCTCCTGAGAAGTCAAGAAAGATGAGAACTGAAATTTCGGGGTGCCTGGGTGGCTCAGTTGGTTGGGCGACTGCCTTCGGCTCAGGTCATGATCCTGGAGTCCCAGGATCGAGCCCCGCATCGGGCTCCCTGCTCGGCGGGGAGCCTGCTTCTCCCTCTGACCCTCCCCCTCTCATGCTCTCTCTCTATCTCATTCTCTCTCTCAAATAAATGAATAAAATTTTTGGAAAAAAAAAAAAGAGAGAACTGAAATTTCTATAGGCCGGTGACAAGCTGCTGGAAACTTGCAAGAGCAAGGTTAGCACTTTGACTGGGGGCCGAGTAGAGTGCTGTGAGCCAATAGGAAGAGATGGGGTTGTGGACAGTGGCAATCAACAACTCTCCTTTGATGCCAAGCTGGGGAGGAGTGAAAAAATCAGCAGAGGCTGGACCTCAAGGTTGGTTGAAGGGTTTCTTTTGTTTGTGTTTTTGGTTTATTCTGCTTTAATTTTTTGTTAAAAGATGGGTGAGACCTATAGGTGTACAAAAACCAATGATAAGGAGGAATAAAGAAGGGGAGATTTAAGATTCAGGAGAAAGATGGTATTCAGAAAAGCAAATTTCTAGAGAAACTGAAGATTTATAAGGTCCTGAGCATTTGTGAGGATTCACCTAAATTAAGAAAAAGAACCCCAACAAAATAAAAAAAACAAAATAAAACAAAACCTCTTTGGTTGCATCAAGGGAGGGGTTGGGATGGTGTTATACTGTACATTTTGTCTTTTTGTAAACGATTTCCAACTTGTATGGTGAAGGTTGAGAGAACAGGTGGTGGGTACAAATTTTGATTTCTCTGCATTTTTATGAATCAAAGAAAATATGGTAAACAGTGAAGATTTGAAGTCTGCTGCCAGTTGTCCAACTGTGGGGGAGGGTATAATGGGAAGGTTTGGTGTGTCCATAGTTTGCAGATCTATCATGTTTTATAAGCCTATCTAAACAAAAGTTACATTTCCTGCTTGGGATCTGATGATAATAAATGTCCTATGCCTGTTCATTTTACCATAGCATATAGAGATCTTTTGTCAAAGTCTATAATAGCAATAATGTTTCCAGGATTTGGGTCAATTTTACACAATGGATTTACTTTTAGATTATCCTATCAGCAAATTATGCAGTTTCCTTTACTGACTTGAGGGAAAGATCAATAAACTGCTTATAATTCGTATGTTTTTCTTTATAGGTATTCCATTAAAGTTGCTTTACCGCATCCTGTTACTGTACAGGTACGCACGTCCAAACCAGATGCATTCATCAAGCTACAGATCTTAGAAAATGAAGAAATTATCGTCAGTTCCACTGGGAAAGGGCAAGCTATAATCCCAGCAATTAACTTCTTGGGGAGTGAAAAAGTTCTGAGCTCCCAGTGTGAGTATGCCTTTTGCCCTTTTAAATGTGTTATTTAGGTCCATAAATAAGTATTTATGTTTAAGTAACTGATTTTAAAATATTTTATTTAAGGTAAAATAGCAAATAAGCATTTACATCTGTAAAACGATATTATTAAAAATATTTTTAAAAACTTGCATTTGTGTGTCAGATTAGTCTCTGAAGATCAACAGATTGTTATAATTCTACTTTAAGGACTTTTTTATTACATGAGCCTTTTTAGAATTCTGAATAAGAAATAACATTTTTTATTATTTTGAAAGAATTTTTCACTGTTCTTTTATCCCTAATTCATTATTTTTAGAAAATATTCTATTAAAATGAACAGAAACTTTGAAGTCATTACTTTCAATGTAATAGTCACAGGAACTATTAATTAATAAAATAAAATTGTTTCTGAAATAATGGAAAACAGAGATACTGAGATACATATTCAGTTATTTTAGTAACAATTCTGATCATAAAAATAACGCATTGCCCAATGTAGAAAATTTTGAAACAGAAAATTATAAACAAGAGAACAGGAAATCCCTTGTGCTTTTCCTGAATTCTGCCATTATGTTTTTTTTAAAATAATTGATTATATCTTTTTTTAAAGATTTATTTATTTATCTGGAGAGCCTGGGTGGCTCAGTAAGTTGGGCGTCTGCCTTAGGCTCAGATCATGACCCCAGGGTCCTGGGATTGATCCCCAAGTTGGGTTCCTTGCTCAGCGGTGGGCCTGCTTCTTCCCCTCCCTCTGCCCCTCCCCACTGCTCATACTTGTAGGAGCTTTCTCTCTGCCCCCTTGCGCTCTCAAATAAGTAAATAAAATCTTCAAATGAATAGAGTCAGACACCGTTTATAGTTTGTCACATAGGTTATCATTAACATTTAGTTATA